AATTCCTTTGAGTGGGCTGATCTTGCTCAGTAGGCTTTTGATAAGTTGAAAGCCGCTTTGGCCACAACACCGGTTCTTGTGTTGCCGGATTTCTCATTGCCTTTTACAGTGCAAACTGATGCTTCTGGGTATGCTATGGGGGCTGTTTTGTTACAAAATGAACACCCTGTCGCCTATTTTAGCAAGTTGTTCTGTCCTCGTCTCTCTAAAGCTTCAACTTATATCCGAGAGCTTCATTCCATTACTTGTGCCGTGAAAAGATGGCGTCAATACTTGCTTGGCCATTACTTTATAATCCAAACTGATCACCGTAGCTTGAAGGAGTTGCTTACTCAAGTGATACAAACCCCAGAACAACAATTCTATTTGTCTAAATTGTTGGGGTACCATTATGACATTCAGTACAAGCCCGGGAAGACGAATACTGTCGTGGATGTCCTGTCTCGCTGTCCAGAACCACATGTTGCTGAGTTGAATGTGCTCTCCACCCCTCAGTTCTTGTTCATTGATGATTTACGAAAAGAATTGAGTTCGGATGTCGACTATCAGACTAAGTGTCAACAAGTTGCTGCTGATTCCTCTCTTGCTCTGGAGTACACTGTTTCTAATGGGTTATTGTTGCACAAAGGGCGCATTTGGATCCCTTCTACATCTCGTTTTAAGGCCCTGCTGCTTAAGGAATTTCATGAAACTCCTATTAGAGGTCATGCAGGGGTTTTCAAGACTCTCAAGCGCCTTTCCGCTAATTTTTGCTAGCCTGCAATGCGCCAAGACATCAAACAGTTTGTGCGTGAATGTGTCACTTGCCAGCAGACTAAATATGTGACAAGTAAACCAGGAGGGCTACTCCAGCCACTGCCCATTCCGGTACGTATTTGGGAAGACATTTCCCTTGACTTTGTCACCGGGTTACCTGCTTCTAATGGGTTTACAGTCCTGCTAGTGGTGGTGGACCGTTTCTCCAAGTATGTGCACTTAGGAGCATTGCCTTCTAATTTCACTACATATAAGGTGGCTGATTTATTTGTCAATATTGTTTGCAAATTACATGGGCTGCCTAGGAGCATTGTTTCGGACAGAGATCCGGTGTTTATTAGCAAATTTTGGACTGAGCTGTTTAAGTTCAGTGGTACTCTTCTTCGCATGAGTTCGTCTTACCATCCTCAAACGGATGGCCAAACGGAGGTTACTAATCGCACCATTGAGCAATATTTGAGGGCATTTGTTCATCACAAACCCTCTCTTTGGCATAGATTCCTTCCTTGGGCAGAATTGCACTATAACACCTCCTTCCATTCCGCTGCTGGCCTGACACCATATGAGGCGGTTTATGGTAAACCACCCCCCTCTATTCCATCTTACGTGGCTGGTACGTCTGATTTGGATGCTTCTAATGAGTTGTTGAGCTCACGTGAAGCTCTCCTTGACCTTCTTAAGAAGAATTTGACTAAAGCCCAGTTTACCATGAAGTCCATTGCAGATGGTAAACGTAGATATATTGCTTATGAGGTCGATTCCTGGGTATATGTCAAACTGCAGCCATATCGACAGATCTCTCTTTCGGGTATCAAGTACAATAAGCTGCATAAGAGGTATTATGGTCCCTTTCGTGTGCTCGCTCGCATTGGACCCGTAGCTTATAAATTAGAACTCCCTTCATATTCAAAGATCCACGATGTTTTCCATTGTTCGCTTTTGAAACCATATGCTGGTCCACCACCAGCTGAGAGTGGACAGCTTCCTGCTGATTCTTTGGGGAATAACCTTATACTCACTCATCTAGTTATCTTGGATAAGAGGATTGTTACAGTTGATGGCAGCCCTCAACAACAAGTTCTAGTGCAATGGACTAGTTTAGCACCAGAGGAGGCATCATGGGAAACTTGGCAGACTATGCAAGAAGTTTACAACCTTGAGGACAAGGTTGAATTTGAAGGGATGTGTATTGATACAGATACAACATCTAGTGGTGGAATTAGTAATGAGCAGCCCACTGTTTTGCAGCCCAACACTGTTGAAGTTAGGCCCACCCGTACCAAGAGGATTCCTTCAAAATACAAGGACCACTTCCTTTATTAATGAATATTATAGTTGCATTTTATTCCCTTATTTCTAGTATGTTTCTAGAAGGTTGTGACTCAGCCAAGTTTGTTAGGATTTGCTTAGCTGTGAGATCTCTCACTAGATTCTCTATTTTGCAATTCCTTTATATGCTGTAATTGCTATTGAAGCAAGATATGGAATGAAATTCTGTTAAGAAAAAAAAACTCTCTTCTCTCTCTTTATACTTGCTTCAGAAGGTTTGCTCAGTCCTTAAAACTGAGCCCTATCACAATAAGGACCTGCAATCTGCTGTTATGATTTCTAATCTATCATCAGCCAAGACCCCATTAATACAGTCAACACAGTTTTTGGAATTAGAAAAAACGAGGACTTTAGAAACATCCATGTCATACACCAGACCAATGTACCATTTTAAAGCCAACATCTCAGCTTGTCCTGGATCAAAACAAAAATTATGCTTCGAGCAGGCCGCAAGCACCACATTCTGCGCAGTACAGCAAATACTGTCCACAACCCCAGCGTCCACGTGAATCACCAACAAATTCTTAGATACACTCACCTCCATAGGATTAAAAGAAACACTCGCATTACTTCCACCTCCATCCATAGAGCTAAAATCCTTCCACCCATTCCAAGCCGAATCAGCCACCATAATCGGCGTCATCTCTTTTTTTGTTGTGGATAAGCTCATTCCTGCCTCCCCAAATATTCCATAAGATGGAACACAACATATGCACAGTGAATTTATCATTCATAGAGACAATGGAAAGTAGCCAATCCAGGAATTCCATATCATTTGGACAACGATAGCCAAAGGAAGAGGAGAAGAAAGAAGCGCGAGCAAATTCGCATTTCAGGAATAGATATTGCCTGTTTTCCACAGAATCATGGCAGAAGGGACATGAATGATCAAGAGACAACCTTTAGACCTTAGAGCGCTCCTGAGGGGAAGGATGTCCTTTGCTAACCTCCAAATGAAGTTCCTTGTCTTGGGGAGAATAGGAAGCTTCCATATTAGTTTCCAAAACTTAGCATGATTTGAAAAAGATGGCCCTGACTCCTTTGAGTGATTCAGGTTCTTGAGAAGGTGGTACGCAGATTTTACTGAATATTCACCTTTACGCTCATAATGCCAAATTCTTTTATCCGGAGGAAGATTCTTAGAAATCGGGATGCTAAGAACTTGCATAACATAATCAGGTTGGAGGACTAATTGCAGCTCCCCAATCTCCTAAGTTCCAAGGTCATAATCAATGAAATCACTAACCTTTAAATCGAGGTTGACATCCTGCTGGGGTCTCCAAACCTTGAACTCGGGCCTGCTTGGAACCCATTTATCCTTCCAGAAATTGACATTATATTCGTTACCAATTCGCCCCCTCCACAAGCTCCCTTGCTCCAATAATGCTCTTCCAAACATAAATTAGATTGTAACCCACGGTAGCTTCCGAAATAGAACACCTAGGGAAATATCTTCCCTTAAGAACTCTACTAAGCAAGGAACTATCATCATTCAAGATCCTCCAATAGTGCTTCCCTAAGAGGCTTGTGTTAAATTCCTTGATACCACGAAAGCCCAGCCCCCCATCAGCTTTTGCACAGGATAGTTTTTCTCAGCTCAACCAGTGGATCTTCCTCCTTCCTTCTTTAGCTCCCCACCAAAAACGAGCCACCAAAGCTTCAATCTCATGACAAACACTATCCGAGAGTTTATAGCAACTCATGACGTAATTCGGAATGGCCCAGCCGACTGCCTTATGGGAGATAATATGTAAAACCATGTAATCGTATTGATTTCTTTTATGTCTTCAAAATCAAAACTCGTTTTAGGTACAGTATTCGATTTAATCAAACTAAACTTTTAAGGAATTCAAGAATGACGGTTAAAAAATGGCAGTGTGCTGGATCTATTAATCCATTAAAATTAAAATTTATCTAAAAGAATCGATAGACACAACATTACCGTATATTATTATATTATAGAATAATCAACAATAATAAGAATAGTGTCTCTCTCATTGGTCTTAACTAAATAGTCTAACACATCACGGTTCATTCAGACACAAAGCTCAATTAAATAATTCGTGAGTAATTAGTGCTTAATTATAATTGACCATAATATAATTAATTAATAATTAATTATTTCAATTTATATTTGATTAATTAAATACTTAATCTAACACAATGCACATGTACATCATCTTTCACAATGTATGTAGCCAAAAATCTAGTGTTATAAATGAACACTAAAATTTAACAAGAGAGGAAACCTCACAGTGATGATGGATTGTTAAAGGAAAGGTTATGTGAAGAGTGGTTTTTGACTTAATCCATGGCAGCATTGATGTTTGATGGTGGTGGTAGTGTCCCTGCATACCCTTTAACCCTCAAATCAGTAAACGATTGAAGTAGGCAAGAGAAGAAGAATGAGACATACCTTTAGTGGTGATGATCCGGGGTGATATTGGACTTGGATCATCCCAAAGATCCACCGTGGAACATAAAGTAATAACTTTTCATTAGTTTAATATAAGTTTGATCATTATATAATTAAGTAGATGTATAGTGAGGGATTTGGATTTCATGCAGTAACTAACTTTGTCACACAATATTCGATCTCAATCGTGAAATATAAAATTAACAACTGAGATTGTCTAAAATTGGTTTCGTTATTGTGTAGCCTAAAGCATCCAATACCAGATTAACCCTGGCCAAAATTGTTACTTTTTCCACTTACAGGGAATCTGGATCCAGATATGGGGACCAAAACAAGATAGAAAACTAACATATTATGATCTTATACAATTTTATTTGAAAGGCTTTAAACAAATTATTACAGAGCAAACTATAAACATCATAGACGACTAGCTGAATTCGCACTGGTTATTTACACGTATGTAGCCTGTATAGACCAACTGTAAAATTAATGTGTGAAATTATGACAAAGTGTCATATTGCTGAGCCTCACGTGCAACCTTAATGAAGACATCTTCCAATGTGGTGTCAGCTAAACCCCATGCAGAAACTGTGAAGTTTCTCTTTGCAGTTTCAACAGCTTGAAATACATCAGCTATTCTAACCTCATCTTTTGGCAACTCAAACTTTTGGGTACCTGAAATATGATAAATCTTCTTAGCATTTGGGGAGAGTTGTTGCACCAATTTCTCAACATCTGTTTCATGATCAACAGATGTTGCCATTGAGAATACATAAGTTCCTCCATATCTTCCTTTCAGCTATAAACATACAACAAAGAAAATAATGTCACTTGGTAGTCAATGAACAAACAATGAAAAGAATTAATCAAAGTAAAAACCTAATAAGCCTATTGTAAGTTATGTGATTTATCTAGTTATGTGTTTTAGATAAAAGGAGAAGAGAAAAAATAGGTGCTTCAAATTGTGTATAACAAAATAGTAGCTCCGAGTCGTATTGCCAGCCTCTGTGTATGATTTAGCCCCACGACTCCCACATAAAGGGTTGTCCTTTGTAAAAGGCACATAGATGGGTAGAGAGGAGTGGTTGTGTTGTTTATACACTACCCTTAACCTTGACTACCAAGTAATACGGGGCTTTTTGATGTACAGGAACAAAAATCATCTTTTCAAATACTTGAACAAAATAAACATATAAACTAATTCACTGGTACAATCTATGTAGGCCACCTACACCAATACTTGTTATCACGTTTAATATATTAATTTTTTCAAATTATTACCGGTATTGCCGTGTCAGTGTCGGTGTCATGTTTGAAGTGTCTGTGATTCATAGGATACAATTCAAGATATGCTAACACAATATCAAGATATGAAGAAATATTCTGATATTTTAACAAGGTCTAATTCAATCAATGTGATTAAGTTTATAACTTAGTTACCTAACCTAACTAGGTTAGTAGACTCAATAAGTGACAGGCAACCCAAACCCTTGTAAAAATCTTTCTTCAACACACGAACTTGATAAAGCATATAATTTGCAATGTAATTTATACCTCCTTTGGATTTCCTATGCACTGAAAGCTACCATCTACAAATATTCCTAATCGATCACATAGGACTTCTGCCTCTTCCATGGAATGTGCTGAAAATTGTATGCAAATATGATTGATCAGGTTATATGAAAAGAGAATATTGATACTGTTATGAAACCAAATAAACAAACTAAGCTGATATATCTAAGGCTTACATAATCTTTTAGTACCTCTTTTTTTCTAGTCCCACTTTTTTTTAAGGCTTCCCTTGTTATCACTGATAATGATTTTGGTCACCCCCGTTGAGTTTTCACTATAACATATCACCTTGCTTTTTTATTGATGATATGACAAGAATGGCATGGGTATATTTTTATTAAACAAAGCTCAAACCTTGGCTGAATTTTATGAAAAGTGCAACTAATTTTGGAGAGTCTACTATGATGAAAGAATATAATGATGCAATAAAGGAAGAGTTGACCATGATTAATAATAGTGGTAATCGGGAACTCACTTTGAGACCCAAAGACAAATATATAATAGGAGTTAAATGGGTTTACAGAACAAAATAAAATTCAGATGTTCTATTCAAAAGCACAAAGCAAGGCTTATTGTGAAGGAATATTATCAAATTGCAAATGTTAATTATGGTGATACATTTTCACCTATTGCTAGGCATGAAAAAAAATATCAAATGTTGCTTTATCGTCTAACTATGAATGGGAAATTTTCACTTAGGTGTTAAATCAACCTTCTTGAATGAAGTTCTGTTCGAGAAAATCTATGTTGGCCAGTCCGCTGGTTTTGTTGTTGTAGATCGTGAAAATAACATTTACTAGCTTCATGAAGCCTTGTACTGTGGCCCACTATCACCTCTAGAACGATGGGAGAAGGCTATAGTCTTGAGACAGAAAAGTGGCAGGGCTCAAATCATTAGAGATAAACATTGGGATTCTCGTCTAGAAAGATATAAGCTTTTAGGTTTTGATTGGCCAAAGCATTGTTCTCCTATTTGGAAAATTGATGAAAATTTTTCACTTTACATAAACTATATTTATGTCAAAGTTTTTTCTTTTCCAAAAAATGTATTAATATGAATCTAATGATCTTGTATTATGTTTTCAATCTTGGGGTCAAGGTTGTTTTTAAAGGGACTGTATTGCTTGAATACATAAAAAGTGTGAATTTGAGTATTGCTAATTAATATTAGTTAAAGAAATATCATGCATAAATAGAAGGATACATGGATATAGGGGATTCTATCCATGTAAATACAGCAGTGATTCTGTTGTTCAAGGGAAAACTCTTGGAAGAGGGTTTCTTTCATATTCTCTCTTTCTCTTTTCTTCTTTCTCATTCTTTCAATTCAATCTCTTTCGTTTCTAACAGAAGATGACAGTCTTACAGGGCGTAAGTTAGTTTCAAATATTGTGGAGGGATGATCTATCAAAACATCTATGGATGGTTATATAAAAAGGGATGCTTAAAAAACAAGAAGAGGGGCAAATATAAAAAGAGGGATATTTTGAGGTGCCGAGATATTATTTAAGCCTATAACTACTCATTTACAACAAGAAGATAATTAACAAAATAAATAAATAAAGAGATGGATCAAATTACTCTAGGAATAACTTTAGCATTTGGTGAAATTCAATATTTATAATGAGTCATTATGCCTATTAAGCGGTGTAACTCTCAAAGTTATTCCAGGAGTAACTTCATCCCTTCTCACAAATTAATGCAACAACTTGGTAGTGTTTCAAAAACCATGAGAGAGAAAAAACGTACTGGTGAGAATGATTGCACGGTCCTGTTTTGCACGCTTAACAACATTCCATAAGTTCTTTCTTGATGCAGGGTCTAATCCAGTACTTGGCTCATCCATATAAACAACCTTAACAAAATTATCCGTCACAGAATAAGAAAACATAACACAAATATTCCAACCAAAGTAATTTTATAGTACAAATTGAATTGAAAAGAAAACATACTCTAGGATCTCCGATCAATGAAATTGCAACACTAAGTCTCCTCTTCATTCCTCCACTATATTTTCCAGCTTTTTTATCAGCAACCCCTCCATGAAAAAGGTTTACGCTTTTCAAAGATTCTTCAACTGCCTGCAACATTATATTGTGACTTAAATTTTCATATGTCGTGTCTTATCTGCTAAACAAATGCTATAGAAAGAGGTTCAATTTACGTCTACACTGCAATCTTGTCATCTAAAGATCCATTCACCCTTAATAGAAAAAGAGTAATGCTAACTTGTGCTCACAAGTTAAGAAACACATTTATAGAAAATTTGTATGGAAACATCAATAAAAAATTATTTTTTTTTTTATTTTTATTAAAAGCAGTGCACAATTTCCAAGATATTATTTCTACATTTAGTTCTTAACTTGTGCCTCAAGGGCACAAGTTAGCATTACTCATAGAAAAATATGATAAAGACTATAAAGCAGGGAAGGATATAAACTAGTCTAAGGAAATGGACAGGCTGTTCAATTTCCTCTAATGTTTGGTGCTTCACACGCTTTATTCATTGTGATATTAAACAAGAATTGTAAGTTAAGAAACATTTTTAAAGTAACAAAGGTCAAAGTTTCACAAGTTCAATGCCTTTTTCATAGAGTAAAAACTTCAGAAACATATAGATATAAGACAAGTCCATCTATTTTATAATTGTCCCCGCTAAAAATTTTCAAGTCTAAACCTACTATCCATTGGGTTGATACTATCAGCTTCAACTTACTTGTGTTAAAGCAGAACCTTTAAGATTTTTAAGTCTTCCATAGAAAAGTAGGTGCTCTCTTCCTGTCAAGATTTCCCATAGCAAGCTAAAATACCAAAAGGAAAACATATATACAAATTTTCAACTGTTACAAATTTCAAATTAGAAAAACATATAAACTAGAGGACATTCCAGCTTACTCATGCTGGGGGCATACACCCATGCTTGTATATATTCCATTCATATCTGTTCTTATGTCAAGACCTTGAACAAAAGCGGTACCTGAGGTTGGCTTTGCAAGACCTATCATCTGTACCCATTTACAAGATGGTCTGATTAATGAATTGAGGAGAAAATAAGTCAAAGAAGGCACGAAATTCTATGTAATCTAAAAGAATCTTATAACATTGTGAACAAAACCAATAGGTATATACTTTAGGAAAATTCATACATCTCTATCGATTAAGAATTAATAATCAATTAAGTCCTTAAAATCGTAGGGTCCAATCTGCTTTGTCCTGTAAATTAACGAAAATTTAAAACTGATCTATGAATTTAAAATTTGTTGTAGAAATATATTTTATATTTCCTTGTATTTTATGAGAATTACATAGCAGTATTTATAGAATACATAAGGCAGAGTTTGAAAAGGAAATCTGTCCTAGAAATCAGGGGAATTAATTTTCCCATAAATGCTAATTCTAATTACAGTAAAAACAGGAAATAATAACTAATTAATTACATTAGTCCTAATCCTAATGAGTTGTACAAACAGAATCATTTGATTCTGTATTGATTATTCCACACTCCCCCTCAATCTGGGTGGTAGATGTCTATCATACCCAGATTGGATCTGATATTCTCATATATGTTCCATGGAAGGGCTTTTGTTAGAATATCTGCAGTTTGCTGGCATGATGGAATATGGTTAACACTTATAATTCCATGATCAATTTTTTCCTTGATGAAGTGTCGGTCTATCTCTACATGCTTTGTTCTATCATGCTGAACTGGGTTCTTCGCAATGCTTATAGCAGCCTTGTTATCACATAATATCTTCATAGGATGTTTGGTAGGAATTTTTATTTCACCTAGCATTCGCTTAAGCCAAATTCCTTCACAAATACCTTGTGACATAGCTCTGAATTCTGCTTCTGCGCTACTCCTAGCCACAACAGACTGTTTCTTGCTTCTCCAAGTTACCATATTACCCCATACAAATGTGCAGTAGCCTGTAGTCGATTTCCTGTCAGATAAACATCCTGCCCAATCTGAATCAGTGTAGACTTCAATACCTCTGTTTGAGTTCTTTTGAAAATAGAGTCCTCGACCTGGCGTACCTTTTAGGTACTGGAGAATTCTGTTAACATTTCTCATGTTAGTTTCAGTTGGATTTGACATATAACGACTAGCCATGCTTACAGCAAAACCAATGTCTGGTCTGGTGTGAGTCAGATAGATTAGTTTTCCAACTAGACTTTGGTATCTATCTTTATTAGCTGGTATATTCTCATCTTCACTCCTTTTTATTTGTTCTATGGGAGTATTGGCAGCTTTGCATCCAAGCATACCTGTTTCTTGAAGTAAATCCAAAGTGTACTTCCTTTGAGAAACTGAAATACCATTCTTTGTCCGTGCAATTTCCATCCCTAGAAAATACTTGAGCTGTCCTAAGTCTTTGACTTCAAATTCTTTGGCTAGAAGTTTCTTTAACTGGTTGACTCGTTCATCATCATCTCCTGTAATTACGATATCGTCAACATAGACAATAAACAAAGCTATCTTCCCATCCAAAGAGTGCTTGACAAACATAGTATGGTCTGTTTGACATTGAACAAAACCATCTTGTTTGACAACTTTTGTTAGTCTGTCAAACCATGCCCTTGGTGATTGTTTGAGGCCATATAGAGATTTTCGAAGTCGACACACCATGTTGGAGGTCCCGGGTGATTCAAGTCCTGGAGGAATTTTCATATATACCTCTTCTTCTAACTCACCATTTAGAAATGCATTCTTTATGTCTAGTTGGTACAGGGGCCAATCTAGATTTGCTGCCAGAGATAGTAGAACCCGAACAGAATTGAGCTTCGCAACAGGTGCAAAAGTCTCCTCATAATCCACCCCATATGATTGTGTAAACCCCTTAGCAACCAACCGAGCTTTGTACCTATTTATACTCCCGTCAGCATTGTACTTAATTGAAAATATCCACTTGCATCCTACTGCTTTCTTCCCTTCTGGTATAGCAGTGATCTCCCATGTGCCACTTCTTACAAGTGCTTGAACTTCTTCTGTTACAGCTGCTGCCCATTCAGCTTTCTGCAATGCTTCTTGAATATTATTTGGAATTTCTATGTTGTCAACAGCTGCTACAAAAGACCTGTAACTTTGTGATAGTTTTCCATAGGAGATATATTTTTCAATAGGGTGTTTGGTGCATGTTCTAACCCCTTTTCTCATAGCAATAGGAATATCCATATCTGCTGTATTTGTAACAATATGTTCAGAGTTAGGGAGAATATTACCGGTGGGAACTTCATTTTCTAGAGCTTGGTTGGACTCATGGCCTTGCATTGGAGCTATACTTGACTCTACTTCCTTCCTCCTCCTTTTATAAACCTTCCAATTACCTGTTTTTGGATCACAATTCTGTTGAGGTGTGGTTGAGACTATAATTGGTTCGGTTTCCGTCACAGCTTCTGTTGTCCTTTCACTCGGCTGAATGTTAGAGGTTTGGTTTAGTAATTTTTCAGTTGGTTTAGGCATAGGTTCGGCTGATTGAGTGTTACCGGTTTGGTCTGGTAAGATTTTTTCATGTTCGGTTAGTTCAAGAGGCAAAAGTTGGTATTCTGAATTTTCAATACGATGTATGTATGATTGCTCCCCCTGAATACCAGTTTTGGTGTAATAGGGCTGATTTTCAAAGAAGGTTACATCCATAGTGTGGTAAAATTTTTTGGTATGGGGAGAGTAACACCTATAACCCTTTTGGTGAGGAGAGTAACCAAGAAAAATGCATTTGATGGATTTTGGGTCTAATTTGTTTCGGTGAGGGTTGAGGTTATGGACAAAAGTTGAGCATCCAAATATTTTTAATGGAATAGAGGAAAAGATTTTGCTGGTTGGAAATAGGTTTTGAAGTGTGGAGAGTGGGGTCTTAAAGTTAAGGATACGGGAAGGCATTCGATTTATAAGGTGAGTTGCTGAAAGGACAGCTTCTCCCCAAAAGTGTTGTGGGACATTTGTGGCCAACATGATTGATCTAGTCACTTCCAAAAGGTGTCTATTCTTCCTTTCTGCTACTCCATTTTGTTGGGGAGTGTCCACACACGAACTTTGGTGAACAATTCCAACCTTTTGAAGGTAGGAATTTAGAGCAAGGTTGTAATACTCACGACCATTGTCAGTTCTAAGTATCTGAATATTGCTTTGAAATTGTGTTTGTACCATCTTATGATAAATTTCAAATATTCTCCCTACTTCTGATTTTTCCTTCATTAAAAACACTCATGTAACACGTGTGTGATCATCAATAAAGGTGACAAACCATCTCGAGCCAGTAATGTTGTGGACTCGTGATGGTCCCCATACATCACTATGAATTAATGAAAAAGGTTTGGATGGTTTATAGGATTGGGGTGGGTAATGGTTTCGGGTATGTTTAGACAATTGGCAGATTTCACATTGAAAATGTTCCTTGTTTTTATTGAATAACGAGGGAAAAATCTTTTCCAAGTACATGAAATTTGGGTGGCCTAATCTATAGTGCCACATCATTACAGAATTATTATCATTTGAAACTGCAGCTGCAACATGATAGTTATTATTGAGTTTTTTCTCTGATTTTTCCACTTGGAGGAAGTAGAGTCCAGCACACTCTTCAGCATTGCCAATCGTCTTCCCCGACTCCAAAATCTGAAATTCACACAAGTTAGGGAAGAATTTAGTAACACATTTCAAATCTCTTGTAATCTTGCTAATGGACAGCAAGTTACAATCAAGTGTAGGCACATACAAAACAGAGTCAAGAGTAATATTTGGTGAAATTATAATTGATCCTTTACCCATGACCTTAGAATGTGTACCATCGGCTATTCAAACATTATAGTTATAGGGACATGGAGAATAACTATTAAACAGGGTGAAATCTCCAGTCATGTGATCTGAGGCCCCTGAGTCAACAATCCATGATTTTGTTTTTTCTTTACTAGTGTTTAGAGCATGTAAATAATTACCTCTTTGAGCCACTACAGCAGTACCACCTTTTTCTACGGTTAACATAGTTTGCTGAAGGAGTTTTTGAAGAGCCTCCATTTGTTATTTGCTAAAAGGAGATGAGTTAGAGTATACCTCAGCTTCTTGGTTGTTAAATGCTGTGTTACCTCTACCCTCCTTGCCTTTGAACGATTTTGCCTCCGAAGGTTTTCCATGTATGGTCCAACATGTTTCCTTTGTGTGGTCTGGTCTCTTGCAGTGATCACATCAGGGGCGGTTTTTCTTTTGTGATGGTCGAGGCTGATTCCCCTTTGCTGCCATTGCAGAGCTCTCGCTGTACGGAACTGAGTTGGGTGTCCCTAACATGATTTTCCTTCTGCTTTCTTCCCTTCTCACTTCTGAAAAGGCTTCTCGAATTTTGAGAAGTGATTTGGTTCCAAGGATCCTTCCACGAACTTCATCTAGGTCCTTGTTTAGTCCCAATAGGAATTTGTAAATCCTATCTTTTTCCACCAATTCCTTATATTTCTTTTTATCTTCTGTACAACACCATGTAACCTCTTCATATATGTCCAGTTGCTGCCAGTGTTTGTTAAGTATGTTAAAATACTCGGTAACAGAAGATTCTCCTTGTCGAAGGTCATGAAGAATGCTTTTTATCTCAAATACGACAGATGTATTGTCAACATTTGAGTACGTTTCCTTCACTGCATCCCATATCTCTTTTGCGGTGTCATAGAACATGAAATTTTCACCAATTTCATTTTTCATGGTATTGAGCAGCCATGACATTACTTGGCTGTTCTCAAGTTTCCATTTCTGAAAATTTTTGTCTCCTTCCGCAGGACATTTAGAATCTCCCGTGGTGTAGCCTTCCCTTCCTTTTCCTTCGAGGAAGATCTTGACTGACCTTACCCATTGGGTATAGTTTTGACCATTTAATTTATGGCCTGTGATGAGGTGAGTGATCCCTTCGTGTGAACTGGTCGGAAATGATCCAGTCTCCACTTTGAGCGATTCATCAGATTTAGGATCCTCCATAGTTTGGCGGCGCTAGGTTAGGGATGGTTCAGATCGTGCTCTGATACCATGTAGAAATATACTTTATATTTCCTTGTATTTTATGAGAATTACATAGCAGTATTTATAGAATACATAAGGCAGAGTTTGAAAAGGAAATCTGTCCTAGAAATCAAGGGATTTAATTTTCCCATAAATGCTAATTCTAATTACAGTAAAAACAGGAAATAATAACTAATTAATTACATTAGTCCTAATCCTAATGAGCTGTACAAACAGAATCATTTGATTCTGTATTGATTATTCCACATTTGTCAATCATATTAATGCTTCTTACAAAAATTTAAGGACTAACTTGGCAATGTCCTACAATTTCATAGATTAAATTGGTAATTTACTCGATGTTAACTAGTTGCCAAGTTTAAATGATAGTAAGAAATAGATTAGGATAAAAGAATCATTTCCTCTTATGGGAGCTCAAGCAAACTGAGTGGATCCGTCAAATCCTAATTATATTTTTGTCAAAGGGGAAGTCTTGCAGAAAAAAATTATGAAAATATTATAAACCAACCATGTTGATAAAAGAAGTCTTCCCCGCACCATTGGGACCAAGCATGCCAAAGCATTCCCCTTGAGGCAAAGCAAGCGACAACTCTTTCACTGCAAATTTCTCTGGGTTACCATCCCTCCCTTGATAAACCTTTCTTAGCTTGTCACAAACAATTGCATGATTCACAGTTGGTTCAAGTAGCAGCTGCTCCACCTTCTCCGTCTAAAGAGTAAAAGAAGAAAAAGTAACACATCGGATGTGTAACTAAGATATGCAATATTAAATATCATAAACTTGCACACAAAAAAAGTTGCAACAAAGAGTTCCTCCGATAAAAATACAATGTTTAGATTTATTGTTCAGGTATAAAGTAATGAAGTCTAACTTTTTGTTTACTTTGATTATGCTTAATTCCTTATGACAATAAATATAGTTTTTTATGAATAAAGTGTTGTGAAGAAATGACTGGCCCATAATAATTTAGAGGACCCAAGAGAGATTTTGGAAATGTGATACTTCTGCTGAGTCGGCAGTGAGAGGAATGGGAGGCTATGCTTCTACACATTGTTGCATACCATTAGGAAGAAGGAAGGGAATAACTAGATTACCTAGAGCTCAGACTACCATGCAACATGTAGTGGAATAATACTTCCCTTTTTTTCTTCTGACATATTTTCATGTTCTATTCCTGACAGTCTTGGGCTGTTTGTATAGGAAAAGAAATTACACTAGCAGTTGTCCCATTAATTAGGACAAATAATGACAATCAAATCAGATTTTTTGTAACTCTCCTACTTATATGCTATGCAAGAAAAAATCACCTCTTGATGAATATCTGGTTTCTCAGTCATAACAAAAACTTTAGATCCTTGCCTTTGGATACTAGGCTTCCGAAAAGATGAACTAGGTTTTTTCTGAAATCTTTTCAAGAACAAATGAGGACTTTTCCAACTTCCTGTTGTCAAAACTTGATCGACGTAATAAGCGAAGAATAGAACCAATATCCACTCCACAAATATGATGATCAACACCTCTTTCATGCCATTTGTGCTATCACTGAGATCTCCCCACCGCATACCATGAGTACCCAAAGTATCACCACTAAAAGAAGATTGTGAAAATTCATATAACCCGCGATATAAAGCAAACCCAGGATATAACTCCATAACAATGATCCACCCTCCTGAAGAAATTGTAAAAGCAATCAAAAGACCAAAAGAAAGGTTAGCCAACATGTTAACACATAACCCAAAAAGACATCTCACATGAAACGCAAATTATAAACATTTCTCAAAACAGTGATCATATTAAGCATGGTAGAAAACAAAATAATTATTGAATTTGATATTGATGCAACCTTAAATGCTGGCTCGTGCTAATATCATGATATGTTGTAAGCGCAAATTCAACAACAGTTCCTTTAAAATAACCACATTAAACTATATTTGCAAAAAACTTCGACTTACTTGGAAACGAGTTATCTTGAACAAAAAATTGGAAAAGAAAACCAGATAATAACCCAGTTCCAAAAACACCTATATATGCAATCACTGCCATTACAAAAGAAGAAAAAGTTAGTGATCAGATCTGATTAAAAAATATCCATAACATTGCTTATCTATCATCAGACCTGTGGCGGTCTTAACATTTGAAAACAGGGAGGCCAATAAAAATGCCAGGGAAATTTGTAAATTTATATAGATGAAATAAAACACGAATTGGATGCTGTAGTCATTCATTGTGAAAAACTTCAATCCTGGAAGAAAAAAAAACAGCAGCATTGAGGGGAAACAGAAAATGCCAAAAAGAAACAGAAAACAAGCGAACAGTTAACGGGTTGCGTTCATACCAATGACTGAGCCAAACATCACAAAACACAGCATGTAGATAATTGATATAGCAAGAAAGTAACTATAAGAAATCATCCAATATGGCCCATCACCAAGACCATGCATTTTCATCATGATTCTTAAATTTTGTTGCTTCTCATAAACTAATGATGTGAGGACAACCTACATCAACAAATACAAATGTTCAGAAAAATTTATAATAATTTAGACAATATTATCAGATAAAATTGTTGACCGAGACTTTTGAGCCAATTGTTTCCATTCAAGAAAGCGAATCCAGTAAGAAAATTTACATGGTTATACGCACAAAAAGATGTTACATGAAGAAGTAAGAGAAGCACTAGAAACACTCACTCCAACACTCTCTCTTAATGGGTAAATTTCATGTAGGTTTCGACCTCTTCGAAAATAGAGTAGAAAATGTATTTCTATTTACCTTGTAATAATACATGTTACACTGGAGGTATAACTAGCTTAGAGAGTGCAACAGTTTGAGACTAATAAAGAAACGAATAAATAACACATGTGTACAAAATGCAAAATTCATGGATATGATAAAAACAAATAGAACACTAATCTCTATACTAAACTTGAGAAAAAGTAACAGTTGGCTATTCGGATCTGCCATAAAGGGCACAGATCAGGTGGTGATTAGGTGGAATTAAATCCAAATCCATATCCAACAAATGTGCCCCACATAATGTCTTGAGACCCACATGATTTGAATTTCATTCAACAAAAGAGAAATTGAAAGCAACTGTTGCTAGTACATATGTGAGGCTTATTCAAAAACTAAGATTTAGCCACGTCAACCATTCTTTTCTTTATAATTACCATGTTAACCCATTTACCAAGCAATGTCAGTAATTTCCTCTCATTTCTGCTAAATTCTTTTGTTACAATACAAACAACTCATTTCGTTCATTGCAAATATGTTTACTCACATATTTAACTACTTACAGGGAAAAGTTGCAGGATAACCCATGTAAAGAAGAGACCGCCCAAAAGAGAAGCCAAATCAAACTTAATTGGGGTCTTAGGTTTTGGCATTTCTTTTACAAACTCAAACAACATTCTGGTACCAGGTCCCAGCAGAAACTGAAGGTAGGCATTTGATACCTGCAAGGATATAGATATTACATGTCAGCTCCTATCATAATCAAAATCGTATCCTCGGCTCTCCAGAGTTGGACTTGCATCATAATCTCTCAGGTGCACAAAATCTTAGACATACAATGTTGTTTTAAAAGTATAAAATACAGCAATTGGATGCCGGGTATCATGATTCTGTTGACTGCTTCCACTCAAATCATGATTCGTCTCTTAAATCATTTACTTCTAATCTATTCCAGCACCGGTGAGTCTGAGGTATGTCTTTTGACTTAAAAGTTAATTGTTAGATTTTGGGTCGAACTCTATCTCAGTTGAGGGATAGCTTTCATGTATTTCGACAGGAGACAAGTATGAAGTCAAAGATAGATCGCATGTTGTAGTCGAAGGATACATATTGTAGCCAAAGTCTGTTCTAATATGTATTTTCGAAATGTTTGTCGAATTGGACCTTTTGTTAAGGATCCAATTGTTTAGTTAACTTGGGTTGCAAGTTATCTAGTTAATCTATATATATATAGGTTAGATCGCTCAGTTTGTTGAGTTAGGCCAATTGTGATATTCATTTCTAATTATTTGTAAACCCTTATGAGAAAGTGAATAGTAAACAATTTGGCATAATCTTTCTCCTTCTTTCTTCTTTCTCTCTTTATTCTAACCGTTTTTCATCTCTCTTTATTCTAACCGTTTTTCATTGTTTACCCAAGAACTCCGTTTCTCAATCTTTATTTGTTGAAAGGTATCATTTGTAATCACAACAAACTGGTGCAGTGAGCGTGGAGAAGATGCCGTCAACAAAGTTTGAAGTTGAAAAGTTCACCGGAGTTAATGACTTCGGTTTATGCCGTTTGAAGATTCGAGCTCTTCTTGTTCAACAGTGTTTGCTAGAAGTGTTAAAGGGAAAAGATGCCATGGATGCTGCATTGACGGAGAAGGAAAAGACAACGATGATCGAGAAATCCCACAGTGAAATTGTTCTGAGTCTTGGTGATAAGGTTCTTAGGCAGGTTTCGAAGGAGACGAAGGCAGCTTGTGTTTGGCTGAAACTCGAAGGATTGTATATGACAAAGTCATTGGTAAATCGTTTGTACTTGAAGCAAGCTTTGTATTCATTCAAGATGAATGAAGATAAAGCATTGACGGAGCAGCTGGATACGTTCAGCAAGCTGATTCTTAATCTTGAAAATATTGATGTTACCATCAACAATGAAGATCAAGCGTTGTTATTGTTGTGTTCTTTACCTAGGTCACATGCTCACTTCAAAGAAACCCTCTTGTATGGAAGAGAGTCTCTGACCTTTGAAGAAGTTCAAGCAGCCTTGTATTCGAAGGATTTGAACGAAAGGAAAGAGTAGAAATCATCATCATCAGTTGACAAAGGGTTGTCCGTAAAGGGGAAATCATCGAAGAGAGATGGTAGGTTTGAGAAGAAGAAAGGTAAGACTCAGCAGAAGCCTTATGGTGGTGATATTTCTGCGATTAAGTGTTATCACTGTAAGAAGGAGGGTCACACAAGAAAGATGTGTCCTGAGCGCCCGAATAATCGTGGAGGTAAGGACAATGGCAATGCAGCTATTGTGCAAGATGATTATGAATCATCTCATGTTCTTGTGGTGTCGAGCAGCAACTCTTGAAAAGAATGGATTATGGATTTTGGATGTACTTGGCATATGTCTCCACACAATAATGTGTTTGAAGAATTATGTGATCAAGATGGTGGACAAGTGTTGCTGAGAAACAATAAATCTTGCAAGATTGCAGGTATTAGATCTGTAAGATTCAATCTCCATGATGAGTCAATAAGGCTATTGACTGGGGTTAGTGAATTCGACAAGAAAGGATATGTCTTCAAAGGAGAGCAAGATATCTTGAAAGTCACGAAGGGGTCGAAGGAAGTCTTGAGAGCAAGGTAGTCAAAATTTAGATCCTATGTGGGATCGGGTAGGAGTCACAAGATCGTGAATCGGATTATTGTAACACGGATCGTAAGATCCTACCAATTTCACAAACTGATATATATTGCATATATATTCATATAAAAAACATAATTTAGTAAACGAAATTCAAATCATACCCAAATTAAAGGGAAAAAAGTTTAAAAGGTGTATCTACATAAGAGAAAGACTCAAAGGATCTGTACTGATTGTGAATAAGAAAAAAATAAAAATGTGATACAGGAATATTTAAACTTTAAAAATTTTAAAATATGTGAGAATAATAGGTTTAGAGAATAAATAGGTAGGTTGCTATATTGGGAAGTTTCAAAAAAATAATGAGTGTATTGGAAAGGTTTTAAGAAGTTAATTGGAATTTAATTGTAATTAAGTGTGAGAAATAAATGTTGCACAGCCAAAAATAACTCTATTTGAATCTTTCAGAACTGAAACGGAAGAAACAAAGATTCTACCGCTCCTACCGAGAAATGAAGATTCTACCGCTCCTACCGTTTTTGCACTGCGATCCCACCGTTACCACCTAAATCTGAGTTTTTGCCTTCACAGGATCGTCAAACCTATCAAAGATCGGAGAATCGTACGATCCTACGATTAGGATCGCGATTTTGACTACCATGCTTGAGAGGCGTGAAGAAACAAGGCTTGTATACTTTTGAGGCTGAGGTTGTAAGTGGTTCAACTGATTTTTCATCCACGAAATCGGTGTCAAAGACAGAATTATGACACATGAGATTGGGTCATGTCAGCGAAAGAGGTCTACTCAAACTGGAGAAGCAGAACCTACTAGGTGGTGACAAAGTCGAGAAGTTAGAGTTTTGTGAACCTTGTGTATTTGGTAAATCCTGTAGAGCGAAATTTAACAAAGGTAAGCAAAGAACACATGGATCCCTTGATTACATTCATGCTGATCTTTGAGGGCCTGTAAAGAATCCTTCACATTCAGGTGCAAGGTATTTTCTATCCCTAGTTGATGACTATTCCAGAAAATTATGGGTATTCATTCAGAAGATTAAGGATGAAACTTTTGAGAATTTTAAAAGTTGGAAGGTTCTAGTTGAAACTCAAACTGGCAGAAAGGTTAAGAGTTTGAAAATCGACAATGGTCTTGAAATCTGCAACGAAGCTTTCGACAGTTACTGTGTTGAGTCTGGGATTGCAAGGCATAAGACTGTAGTAGGTACTCCTCAACAAAATGGCTTAGCTGAGAGATTCAATCAAACAATCCTTGAAAGGATCAGATGCATGTTGGTTAGTGCTGGATTGAAGAAGGTGTTTTGGGCGGAGGCTGTTTCGACAGCAGCTTATCTGATAAATAGATGTACCTCGACTACCTTGGGAACGAAGACACCTGAAGAAGTTTGGTGACGTCAACCACCAGATCTCGACAAACTGAGAGTATTTGGTTGTTTAACCTATGCTCACATTAGGCAAGACAAGGTCGAACCTAGAGCTCTGAGATGCATGTTCCTTGGATATCCTGAGAGAGTCAAGGGTTACAGGCTGTGGTGCCTAGAACCAGGTCACAGAAGATGTATCACAAGTTGTGATGTAGTTTTCAATGAAGTCGAAATGGCGTTCAAGAAAACTGGTGATGCTGGTTGAAGTGCAGAAATCTCTGAAGAGGAGCTGGAACAGGTAGAGATTCCTGTTGAGGTGGAGCATAGTGATGCTGAAGTGCATAACCCAGATCAAGTCGAAGAAGAAGAGCAAGATGTTGAAGATGCTGAGGAAACTGTCGATGACTACCTACTGGCAAGAGATAGATCGAGAAGAGTCATCAAGCCACCTCAGAGACTTTGTTATGCAGATCTTATAGCTTTTGCATTAATCTCTGCAAGTGAGGTACTTGACGAAAAACCTAGAGATTACAAGGAAGCTATGAGGAGTTGAAATAAGACTGAATGGCGAAAAGCCATGGATAACGAGATGAAATCTCTTCATGATAATAACACTTGGGAACTGATTGAAAAACCTGCAGGAGCAAGGTTAGTGAGTTGTAAGTGGATTTTCAAGGTGAAGGAATGAATCGAAGGAGTGCTCTCGAAGCGCTTTAAGGCAAGATTGGTTGCTAGGGGGTTCACTCAGAAAGAAGGTGTCAACTTCAATGATGTGTTCTCACCTGTTGTAAAGCATAGATCCATTAGAATGTTGGCCATGGTGGCGAAGTTCGACTTGGAACTTGAGCAAATGGATGTGAAACAACATTTCTGTATGGTGACCTAAACGAAAAGATCCTGATGTGTCAACCTGAAGGGTGTGTAGAAAAGGATAAGGAAGATTATGTGTGCAAGCTGAATAAGCCTTTGTATGGTCTGAAACAATCTCCTAGATAATGGAACAGGAGATTCGACAAGTTCATGGCACATATTGGTTTCACTAGGAGCCAGTTCGACCACTGTGTATACTTCAGATTTTAACCCGCAAACTCACTTGTTATTTTGTTGCTTTATGTGGATGATTATTAGAAAATAAGAAACTGAAGAGAAGTAGAAGAGAGAATCGTAGTAGAGAGAAAAAGAGAGAGAGTTTGTTATGAACTGAATGATTAGTCTAACTGAAATTAGTTACAAATGAACTAGGGCATGCCTTATATAGTAAGCCCTAACTGTGTTGATTCAGCACAGTTAGTTACAGTGATTACAACTATAATATATATTTATTACACTGTACTATTCTAATACTCTAATAGCTCCCATTCAAAGTGAGGGTACCCCTAAGACAGTTGTTGAAATACAAGAGACTAAGAGACATGAATAAACCGTGTGTTTTTGAAAAGCACTACGGAGACATTATTATATATAAATAGATTACAGCTAATTACATGATATAGTCGATGTGGGACTATTCTATATACAAATATTCTTAACACTATATATATATTTACAAATATCAACACTCCCCCTCAAGCTTGAGCATATAAGTCAAATGCACCAAGCTTGTTACATATATAGTTAGTTCTGGGGCTTCGTAGGGATTTTGTAAACACATCTGCCAATTGATCATTAGAGTTGACAAAGCTTGTGACGATGTCGCCTGACTCGATCTTCTCTCTGA